TGCCCTTTGTTACTAGTAGCGACCTTGCTCCTAGTAGTAAGGCCAGGAGCTACTAGTAGCGTCCTTGCTCCTAGTAGCCTTGGCTTGGAGAGTTGGGAAGTTGATTGGAGCATGATCACTCTGGATAGGTGTTCAATATTTAGGATCGAACTGCTGTTGCTTTGTGCCGGAAGCATCTGTAGACCAGAAATTGCCAAAAGAGAAAGGGATAGAGTCCGTTTGAGTTGTGGGTGATGACCTAATTAGGTGGGCTATGCTGCTTTGGCTGATGCTCTTCAGTGTCATTGGCCGCTTGCCTAGCTAGCAGTGCTCGTGGTTGAACAGAAGCAAAGGGAACATTATTTCATATTATTTCATTGTGAACAAATCTCATCTAGTCACAAGAAAAGTTTCTTGGTTCGTTTGGCGAAGAGTTGTAACATTTTGCACTGAAGTCGCGCTAAGGTCGTTTTGGTTAGGAGTGCTCGTGAGGTGGTTGAGTTAAACATGGGGCAGATCAGGTGCTAGGTTGAAGTTGTGAAAATTGCTGATAGAGTTCCTGATCAGACCTTTGCGTGCAAGAGTGATTTGTATTAGACATGCAAAAAACTGTGGGGACATTGCGTGTCCACATTGAAACTTGTCCCAGAAACAAAGCGCTGACACAACTAGCAATCCATGCCCTCCCGTTTCCCGGTGTTCTTTCTGCACCAGTGTTCGAATCCTGAAAACGCAAAGGCGAACGAAATGCGAAGAGTCAACCGTGCATTGTCGTGGTCTGGCGCATCCTACACCAGTGCGGTTCTTTCACAAACACCGCTCGAGGCGTCGCCCATCATCACATCGGATGCACGAGCTGGTGCGGGACCTGAGGAGAGGCTGAGCTAGTAACAATGTTCGCTACTAGGGGCTCCTGGCATCGCTACTAGGAGCAAGGACGCTACGAACGGGGCTCCTGGCCGTACTGCTAGGAACAAGAATGCTACTAGGAACAAGAAGCTATGTTATGTGCCTGAGGTGAACGCAGTGAGTTATTTTTCTGCGTCGGGAGTTGCTGTGGGAACGAGGCGGACGTGGCCGTTGCAAAGGCCCAGCAAGGCCAGTCCTTCCCTCACAACTTGAGGACAGATGCAAGTGTAGATTGGTCAAATTGAATGTTGCTCCCAAGTGCAGATTAAAGATAATGGTAAAAAGACTAGACTCTATTTGGAGCGTGTAGCAAAATAGCGCACTGGGTTTAGATGTGTTTAAGATGTTTGAGGCAGGTGGCACTGATACAGGATACTCTTGGCCTCTTCGGTGGCTCTTTGTAAGTTTGGAAGTGCTGAACTTTCATTCGTTTTGGCAAGATCCTGAAAGGTTTTGGCACCGTGTCCGACACAGAAACAAGATTCTAGGAACCATTATAAACCGAACACGGCATGCACGTGTACAGTCCCATTTGAAATTGTTGGGGCCTTTGAGGGGAGTTTCATGCTTTCTATTATTTCTGCTTAAAAGGCCCATGTTTTGTGCAACTAATAGTAAGTATGTCATGTGAGGTTTCTGTCGAAAAGCAGCCATCAGGTCATTCAGATTTTCCACTTGCTTCGGAGATTTCAAGGAACAAGAACGCTACTAGGGGCTCCTTACTCTGGCTCCAGGTGCTCTGAAAGCTTTTGGCCACGGTCCCGGAGCCTTCAATGACGGGACTCCCTGACGCCGACGGACTGCTTTCGCTGAAGTTTATTGACTTGAAAACTAACTCTTGCTAGCAGCGATGGCCTCCACCAAGTAGCTTTGGTCGTTAGAAAGTTTACACTTTTGGTTTACTTTTTACTTTTGCGCTACTAGTAGCAAGGACGCTACTACTTGCTCCTGGCATCGCTACTAGGAGCAAGTAGCTACTAGTAAAAAGAAGCTACTAGTAACAAGCTGCTGGACTTCGAGGTCATGATGCGTTCCCGGTGGCCTTTGCTAAGCTTTCTCGCACGGCTACACCCAAGGCACTGCACATGAAAAGCACTTGAGACAGTTACTGGTAGGGCATCGTGACAGATCTATGGGGTCTTGGGGCCCACTAGGGAGCCTGAAGCCACCAGAACGGAAGATTCAGTTATCCTTCACCGGGATGCTGTCGTATTTCTTCGACAGTCTGCAGATCTGATGCTAGATACCGAATATTTTGTCAAACATTTGCCCGATATTGCATATCTCGGCTCTCGTGCGCTTTCGTGTCACACTTCGCCTCAACAGGAAGCGGCAATTTCACATATGTGAAAAACATGAGATCCGTCCAAAAACGTTGGAACCAGAAGCTGTTTGTCGGTAGGTGTTACATTGAGCATACACTGAAAACCGATGAGGAAAACCCAAGATTGATGCCTTTGTATCAAACCGATAAGATATGTAGTATATATATAATATAGTATATTAGTATGTTAGTGGTTATAAATATTAGTATTCCTGTGGTATTCATCAAACAGAAACCCAAGCCCGATGCCCTGTCCTGACCACTCCCAGGTGTAATATCGGACAGAACTCACAAGACGTTCACCAACTGTCCGAATCAACCTTCCACAGTGCATGTTCTGAATTGTGTGAGTCTTCTGTGAGCCCTCAAAAGCCAAAGAGATTTGGTGACCCTGTCGGAAACTGAACACGAGCACAAGAAAAGAACAGATGCTGATTGATGCTGGGTACTGTCCTGCACAAAACAGCGACGGCTGCGGGAAGTAAGCTTAAGAGCATCTCTGCATACGGAGGTTTTGGGATCCGACGAGCCTTGAAACATGCAGTGGGTGCAACAGAAGTCGACCACAACGCAAGCAACATGAAAGCGATGGAGATACAGAAAGCGATCCGCGGTGACGATCGGCTTTCGCCAGGACTGGACCTTCGGACCTGGTCGTATCCTGGTCCAGCCGAGAGGCCAAATCTTTCCCGCAAAAAGAAGGAGCGATCGGACGCATCGAACTAGGAGCAAGGACGCTATTAGGGGCTCCTGGCACTACTAGGAAAAAGAAGGCTACGAACGTAGCAAGAAGCGAGTAGGTTGGAGGCCGTCGTTTTGTCCGTTTCTCACAGGCCGAGCTGGGAGGCACCAACTGGGCCCAGAACTTCGCTAAGGAGGTGAGTGTCGGATTCGGTGAATTCGGACCAGTTGGGAGATCTGAAGCGATACATTCATTATCATTGACATGTTTGCCTCATATCGGCCTTGGCCATCAGGCTTTGAAGTGCTGTTGAACCAACAAGAGCAAAATTTTACCACAAGCAGCTTGTCGCGCTTCCACCATTCGACGCAAACTGTCCCAATGATATCTTTGGTATTTGGATGTATTTGGTAACACATATATGCTTATTATGCTTGTGAAATTCATTCAGTCGAAGAGGTCAACTCCCGAAGGTCTTTGGTGACCGTGCTGGCGTTCACTTGGAGGAGGATGTGGAATGTCAATGCCCCAGAGTGTTAGAAATATGCACCATTTGTAACCTTTGGAAATTGGTCCGAGGATCCTTTTGTAGATCTAATGACACGTGGGTACTACTATGATTGTGTTTCACTGAATCGAGGCCTAGGTGCGTAAAGGTCGCAAGCGTTTGGTTTGTTTGCCTTGGTCTGAATCATGTTCTTTAAATCCTGTCGCACGTTTCTAGGATGTTTTAGTTCTTCTGACGGCTATGGGTTCAGACGGGTCAAGACGGCCTGCGTGCAGACCTAGAAGCATGAAAAGACATGACCTTGGCCTGCAGACAATAAGACAAGCGTCACCTGAACAGCATTTAGCTCCCTGCAAAAAGATGCAGCATATGCCAGCATGCAGTTGAAAGAACAATCCTCAGATCTTATTGCGATGCATTCCGTGTAAAGCAAGGTCAAGCGGCCAACGAGTTTTCTCTCAAACAACTGCCTCAAGCCATCTCAAGCCATCTCATCTCTCAGAGCGCCGACGCACAAACGCATGTGGAGGCGGAGGTTGGAGTTGGAATCGATTCGTTTAGTCATGGTCTTGACCCTTTTTGAATAACAGATGAACGTTTTGAGATGGTGGATTCTACCAGCGATGGCCTCCAACCTAATTGAGATGGTGCATTCTACTCACTTGCCTTCCATAATTAAAGGGGTGCCAGTGTCATCTACGTAAGTCAGGTGTAATTCAAAGCGCGGTTTTCAGCGATGCATCATCGAGCCTGCCTGAGTGCCAGGCATGGCCCAGAAGGAGTCCCAGGTTACGATCTTGGCAGTGAAAACAACAGACTCCGAAAACATGGACAATCGGATATGTTTTTGCATTAAAGTTGCATTCCAAAAGGAACATCTGAGCTTATCTAGCCGGAGACCTGAGGTGGATTTGGCGGTGATTCCATGATGTCACGCTTAGATTCTGAAGCACCCGTAACTTCCGCGATATATGTTCAGATTGGAAAGAACGGCAGGTCAGTCCAGCTTGCTCTCTTGATTCCAGGGTGAAGCACGAAGTGTGAGACTACACGGAGTGTGATTTGGTGGACTTTGGAGTTCTAACTTCTAAGGGGTGTGTGCAAGACGACCGGTTTTAGCACCCAAAGGTCCAATTCAGCGATATTGGGCGTTTTGAGAATCGTTTGTCCGGGATTGAGGACAACAATGGGGAAGTTGGAGGATTGAGTGTTTGTCAGACCTGTTCCTTTAGCTGAAGTATGAAGTAGGTCAGGTGTACCAGGGTGCGGGAAGTCCTCCACGTGAGTGTGTCATTTCAGGTTTCAGAGCTTCGGGATAGCACCACTAAATTTGTTGGGGATGAGAATCTTCAAGACGGACAAAGTCAGACCTTAAGTTTCGACAGTTTTGAGCAAACCGATGGCTGCTTGGAGCCACAGTCTCCTCATAATGTTTCCTCCATGTCCGTGTTTATGTTTGTTTTTTTTTGCACAAAATCAGACAGAACAAAGATGAACAAAGATGAACAAAGATATTGAAAAAGAAGACAAAGAATAAAAGACGGATGAAAAGAATCGAAAACACCGAGAAAGCTCACGACGAGGCGAAGGCTCGAGACGAGCGCCGTGAGCGCCGTGTCTTTCGTCTCTCGGAGCGCAACGTCAACGTGGCGCCCACGGTGTCCACGGCACCCACGGAGGATCGGACGAGTGTTCAATCTATAAAACGTTATAAAACGTTATAGTTATATAGCGTTATGTATCTTTTTATATATCAACCAATTCTCAGTGTTTTTTCCTTAAGCGTTGCAGGAGGAGTCGCTGGTTGCTCCAGGTTGTGGGCCCCAGCGGCCACCCAAAGTTTGCAAACGGAGAACTTCACATGGATAGTATCTCTAGCAGTCAAGAGTCATTTGTGATTCAATGTGATTCACATGAAAATACATGAAACACCGCTAGCATGGCATGTGTGAGAGATGCGCATGAAATGACTAGGACGATAGTGAGAAGTCGATACCAAACGAGAGAGTTCAGAGTCGTAGAGAGGATGAGCTGTTCAGGGCGAGTTCCACAAGAACACCGCGAGAGGACATTCGCCACGTGGGAAGCATTCGTGCGAAGATGCAGGGTTTGTCCTCAACCGTTCAGGAAACTCAAAGTGGCTTATGGTACAGAGGGGCGCAGCTTGGCAGAAGACAAGAAAAGACGAGCAATAAACATGACTGTGTGTGTGTCTCTCTCTCTCTCTCTCGCTGGCTTGCTTTGCTTTGTGTTGCTTTGCTTTGTTTTGTTTTGCTTGCTCTCGCCCTTTTTCTCTCTCTCTCTCTCTCTCTCTTGCACGTGATAAAGCCAGACACCTTTGCCCTAAATCGGGTCAGGCCACCAAGTGATGCTGTGTGAACAAAAGGATTTCATGATGAATTCTTGAATTCTGGATGCCTGTATTTACTTAGTGATGTAGTATGCATGCAATCCTTAGAAACAGAGTGGACAGCAGCTGTGCAAAGAGAGGCAGTCGACCCTCTCATGCCGCTTGTGTTGAGCGGCACCTTTTGTTGATTTGTGCTTGCATGAAATGGAACTAAGGACGAGATGAAGCAAGCAGCTGCCAAGGCGCTCATATTTATAGAGCAGCTGAGAAGGAGATTTAAAGGGTACATGGGAACCTGTAAGTATGGCCAACATTGAGACCACCAAGGAGACAGAGCATGAGGGGGCCCGTTTCCAGTGCTTCGACGGGTAGGGCCACTACAAGCTCAGTATGCTGAGAGGATACTCAGACAAAACCAGCTTCTGATTCATTTGGTGATTTAAAACCAGACTCTGAGTAGCGATGCCCGGGTTCCTAGTAGCGATGCCAGGAGCCCCTAGTAGCGTCCTTTTGGAGTGCTGATGTTTGTCGATTTCAATCCGAAATGTTTCCAGTGCACCAGGTGGGCCGTGGCGGCCATGCCCTCAGCCTTGACAAACATGTCACCCTAGGTTTGAGAGACCATTGCTAGGGAGGCCGTCGCTGGTAGGTTGGAAGCCATTCCTAGTCTTGCCATGGCTTCAATATGATTTCATCAAGCCATTGTACTTGTGGCGACGGCCAGACAGGCCAAAAGGGGGTGAGTGCTCTCGGAGGGCTCAAGCTATCTCCATCTTTGCATCCGAAAAATATTGCGTGCTACGGCTACAGCAAAGCTGCAACCTTTGAAGCAGGTTTCCGGTCACAGCCTGTGCACACAGGTCAGAGCACGTCAATGTCCACAGGTCCACAGCGAAGCCTATGACGCCCCGACTTGATGCGCCACTGAACGAATTGATTCACAGTGAATTCACCTGAATCAGCAGAATGACGTCAGCCAAGGATGATTGACACTTTCCGCACCTTCCTTTTCTGACCCGTGAGCTTAGCCTGTCAACGGGTCAGGAGAGAACTCTGCCTGCTACTGCCTGCTATGTAGTGCATCCTTCTGATCTATGGCCACTCTGCATCTCTCAAACAAATCCAGCCAGGGCAGATCCGGCAACAGAAAGGAGCTGGTCAGGAGTTAGAGACCACCTCATAACGCCAGAAGGGATTTTTTTTCGTCAAAGTTGCAGCGAACTGTTAAACCTAAAACCTTTCGGCTCGGTCCGGAGACCCCGAAAGTAGATGTGTCGTGTAGTATTGAGTGTTTACTTGGTGCTCAACTGCAGGCCAGACCGAACTCGGAGACCCGAACCAGGTGCGATGTGGCAGCCTACTTGCTCTATCTTCGCCTACGCTGTTTCTCTAACATTCTCTAACAGGTTGCCCAGCAATACACCGGTAGTCTGTTGTGTACAATACACCGCCGGTGTTTATTTGAAGCTTTAAATGGCTGTGCGTGTTTGACCATAGACGATTTAGAACACTGCAAGGTGTTGTTGACGTTGCTTACCGATCTGCTTACTTCACCCTCAGACTTAATTGCACTCCAGTCCATTGCCTTGGCCCAAAGTTTGGAGCTACATCTAACAGGTGAGGTAGGGTGAGGTAGCTAAGTGTGGAGTGGGACCGAAAAAATGAGAACTCGCTAGAGCCCGTGTAGCTTTGCTTTTGCCTTTTTCTGATTCAAGTTGAATCTCAGTTGCTTGTAACTTGAGAAGCCAACTCAGTGTCACTGCTTTCGTGCCAGCTCCTCGACCTCCGAGCTCGAATGCCAAAGGCAAAGGCGAACCGCTTTGCAATTTTGCAACGGAGCTTTGCAGCGCAAGACGAATGCGGATGCTTCGCTAGGTCAACATCGTGGGATTCCTCGCATTTGGCGACCCTGGACCCCTACAGGTAGCACCAGACCAGATCGTGTGGAGAACTTTGGGCTCGGCACCAAGAGGGGATTCAGGGTTCTTAGTGAACGAAATGGCCGTGGTCGTACGTGGTGATTGTCACGGACAACATCGGTTCAACATTTGTTTGTCTACATGTCCTATATTGTCCTATATTGTCCTATTCAGTTTCAATTAGGAACAAGAAGCTACTAGGGGCTCCTGGCCGTACTACTAGGAGCAAGAACGCTACTAGGGGCTCCTGGCCTTACTGCTAGGAACAAGAAGCTACTACTATATTGTCCCAGTCACATCCCGAAGGGCTCACTTGTGGCTGACTTTGTTGGCTCGTGTGAGGCGATTCCTGCCACCGACAAAAGAGCTTTTGGAGGCCTTGGCAGGCCAGAGAGCCTCTCTCGAGCTCGGCATGAGTTCAGTCGCCCAATCTTTGGGGCTTTATACTAGTAGGGGCACTGTTTTTTACACATAGCTGTTGGCTGTTACTGCTGCTCCGACGATGACGACTACTACCAAGAGAACCTTCTTCTATACACTTCCAATTCTTTTCAAAGACAAGTTCTATAAGTTTGTATACAGACAGCCTTTTCACAAGCAGAGCTGCTTCTCAATCTTCCTCTTCGAACCTATCTCAATTAAATGCACGTCTGACGAGAAGAAAGCGTTCGCTTAGGTTTTGTGACAATAACTCAAAAGATCGGTGGACGTGGTAAGGAACGGTGCCTTTCGGAGAAACTGTCAAATAGAACAGGATGTGAAGGAAATGCTGCACAAAGATGTACGGTAGGGTGACACCCTGTGAATCTCACTTCATTGGAGCGTGACTGTGACTTGTTGCCGCCTTACGTGTGTTGGAGGGTTCACGGGACTTGCTTTGACTTTGTTGGCGACTGGTAGAAATGAACGAGGAGCAGAAGCAGGAAGGCCTTACAAACCGGTTTGATGGCAAGGGGGCCAATTCCTCCAAGGGCTACGAGAGGTGGAAGCGTTGTTGCAGAGCCTACCTCACTGTGCACAAGGCCACGGGCACCCCGTCGGAGCACATGCGGGCTTGGCCTCGATCTTTGAGACGTTGGAAGATAGGTTCCCAGCTGAAAAAGTGGGAAAGTTCTGGATCGGGTGTCCTCGGGCAAAGGGAGAGGCTACAGCAGTCACTGGGAAGGTCCGTGCAGGTCCAAGGGCGCCGTCCTTCCTGAAGTCGCGCGTGGGCCCTTGCTGCTGCGATTCGCGAAGTTGAGCCCTGATGAAGCGGAAGATTCCAAGGCTGCTGTTGTGGACGGTTTGTTTACGTGGAAGCAAACCAGGTCGAGTATCAATCACACCAAAATGGCCAAAGGCTGCGGGGCCTAAGGGCGTGTTTTTGCGACACTGGAAAGACGTCCCCTGTTTTCGACGCAAGCAAGTTGTGCCATTCACCGATCTCTGCGAGGACAGGGCAACTCGGGGCATCAAGGAGAACGGCGAGACCTCCGTGTTCTTTGCCCCGAACTGGAGCCCAATTTTCGTCTCGGACAGGACAGAAGGCCGGATTGCTCCGAACGCAAGACGCCCCAAAAGGGAATTCAGAAATTCAGACCTTTGAGCCCAGCTGTTTGAGGTTGGACGTTCAAAAGCAATTCAGAAGGATGTCCTTGACATGCAAAATGAGTTTTCTCTTGGCGATTTGTTTCCGGACGCTGGCTTGACAGCAACTCAAGCTGGGAGAGGCCTGTTGTGGGGTTCAGATGGGTTCAGGACTGAGCAGGGCAAAACCTCAGTTGTGCGAAATCATCGGGGTACAGGTGGATGACGCTCTGGGAGGCCTAGGCGTTTCTTGAGAAGACCATCGCCCAGCGACAAAACTTTCCAATTCAAAGTTGGATGAGCAACAGTGCGGATCACATCTCTTCCAGCTTACAGATTTTTTTGCGTTCAAGGCGAAGCCAAGCAGAGTTTGCAGAGAACATGGGAAAGCCGATGTTGAGAGCCAAGGAGCCACCATATCAGTGTTGGGAGCTGGCCTGTGGCCAACGAAGGACAGCTCCAGATTTGTCGGCGCAGGCAAGTCAAGGTCAGAAGCTGTTGCCATCCCCGACTTTGGGATCGATTGCAAGCACGATTTACACGGAGAGCAAAACAACCGTAAGGACCTGTGCTGGACCATTCTGCCAATTGGCCCAGATAAAATTGTGCCTGCGAACAAATGCAGCCAAGAAGCAAGGCAGTCAGGGAGGATGCATTGTGGGTGTGACAACAAAGGAATTCAACGAAGGAAGCTCAGCTGTTCAGTTGGCACTCAGTTGCCATTGCACAGATGGTCCGCGTACCTTGAAAAACTTAAGTTATGTATATATGTATACATACATGGGTGTGTACCCCTTGGAATCATAGGGATCCTTTCGGATTGTTTCGCTTTGACTTTAATTTTGAAGGAGCAGGGGGCCGGAGCCAGGTGGGGGGTCTCCGGCCAACGAAGACACCCCCCACCTGGGTGTAAACGTACCTGCACTTGTGACAACACTCCACTCTTCCACCGCTGTGGTTTGTTTCCATGGTGTTTGCCTGATATTCCCCTAAACCTGCCTTAATTTTAAGATTTCTTGTGTTCTGCAGACCTGCACGCTACGTCGTCAGTTGAGCTTTTGGCCCCACGACCTCCAGGCGTCTTTGGTTTTCACTTGATCTGGTCAGGGTTTGGATACCCAGGTTGGCGTGTGGTAAACCGCATCAAATCAGTATGCAATTCCAGAAGTGTGTCTGTCACAACCCCCAGAAACAAGGCCCAAAGAAACATTGATCGAACTGGGGGTCGTTGTGTTTCCAGATGATTGTCAACGTTCTTGGTGCCAGTAGGACGCTTGACGTCTCAAAATCTTGCAGGTCATTGAACACATATATTGAACACATGTGTCGAGCAATGGTGGGCAGCCACAAAGCAAAGCCATTTGTTGATTCCTTGTGCAGGCTAAAACCGGTTTGAATTTCACACCGCTCTCCAGGCTTGACTGGCACTGCCAAGGCAAGATTCGGTGGGTTTCTAATATGTTGCTGTTTGTCACGCAGGCTCACTGGCTGCTACACCGTGGTTTGGTATATTCTTAATGGGTACAGGTACTCTGAAATGTTGCGCTGGGATGGAATGGGCTTGGGCAGGGCTTTGAAGGCTTTGAGCATGATTTAAGTTCCCTACTATACATGTCACAGAAACGAGGTCGAAAACGATTTTGTGGGCGTTGAAGTGTCTAGGGAACAAATAGATGTCTAATGTACAGCTTTGCAAACACCGAACAACTAGCGCGCAACAATAAAATTCATATCGACCTTCCAACCAGGTGTGTAAAGGCTGGAAAGATCAGTACCAGGTGCACCATGGCGCACTTCAAGACATCGAAACCCTTCAGCTCCTATTGAAAAACCTCCTGCTTTCAACATTGAAATGCGCTCGGCCTGGCAGCAGAGCAATGTGGAACCGCACGGAGCCCAGCATTTTCCCCTGAACAGGCACCGCCGGGTTCCTCGTGTACCTCCCGCCTGTCAAGGCCTTCTAGGCCGGTAATCAAGTGCATCTCAGGTTTATTTGGACATGATCGCGCTAATGTTTTCAAAAACTTTGGAAAAGTGCTTCCTATTCATGTTTATGATTTCTGGCAAAGAACACACAACAGCATTTGATTGGCAGCGTCTATTGTCGAATAGCCTGTGAAACCACCAAGATAGCAACTCTCACCAGCAGAGCACGACAGAACGCATGTCACATTCCTTTCACAGCTTGGTGACGCGGGGAGATCTCTAGAGATCCCAGGAAATGTCTGGGAATGATACAGCCTGAGTTGCCCATATATCGACAGCTTCAGTACTGCAGCGCCAAGTATCATCGAAAGTTTTTGTAGATGGCCTGATCTCAACGAGGCTCCGCCGTTGAAAGTTCCACACTTCGCGCGCGACCAAGAGTAAGCATAGAAATCTTGACCGCAAAGAATTCTCGTAAATATCAACAACTGAACTTATATAAACTTAAGTTTCCTGAAGCACTAGGAACCACATGAACGCGTGAGCTGTCCTGATCTAGACGCATTGGACTCCAGAGAGGTGCTGGTGGTGATGGTGATGGCAGTAGTGACGGTAGTGATGGCAGTGGTGGTGTTGATGCTGGGGGCGGTGGCGGTGATGAAGGTGGTGGATGGTGGCGCTGGGCGGGGTGGGCTACTGCGCCTGCAGCGAAATCTATCTACACTTCAAGGGCTGCGCCTGCCAAGTCTGCGCATCAAGGTTCACAAAGCACCGCGCCTGCCGCAGAATCTGCACTTCAAGTCCACGAAATCTGCACGTCCAGATTCGCATCGCGCAGCCCTGCCAAGGCCATTCGCAGCAAGAGCAGTTCCAAAGACAACATCAAGATGCCAAAACGCAGCTTTCGCTGAAGGCTTCCTCCGATTTCTGAAAGCGAGCCATGTCCAAGAGTCAGGGTTCACTGCACCTCAAGGTCCACAAGGCGTTGCGCCTGCCACGAAAATCGCGCTTCAAAGTCCACAAAGCGCTGGGCCTGCCACAAAATCAGAGCACGTCAAGAAAAGTCAACTTCGGACCATCAAGGTTTCCCGCGCGCCTGCCAGGAAAAGTCATCACCAAGTCCAAAAATGCGGGCGGCGCCGCAACGAGAGCGCAGTCTCGAAGAGGTGCCCGCGCCAGCCCACCAGATTCTGCGAGCCTGCGCAGTCGAAATGCGCTTCGAAGATCTCGAGGTGAATGAATGCACTGCGCATAGCAGCGAATCAGCCGGACGCACCGACGAGTGCCTCTATCAGACGCCCGCCCTTGCCCTAACTCTTACCGTAAGAACCCCTAGTCTTACCACACTGCTTGGGGAGTAAAGAAAGGGGAGAAGAACAAATAGTAACCATGAACAATAACTGAAAGGTACATGGTGGAGACGCCTTTTACCATGATTGAGTAATCAATGATCATCAGCTTAACAGAATTGACCCAGTTGACAACCCCAATAGTAAAGCGTCCAAAGCGTTTGATGACAACAAATTTAACACCGAACCAGACAGAAAGTTCACTTGAGTTGAGGACGAGCGCAGAAGTTACACACAAGAGCCCTTCTGCGAATAGCCTGTCTAGAATCGGACACCTTGCATTCCAAAACACATTGGAGTTTAGACAAGAGCGTTGCAGTTTGCAAAAAGGAACCTAGCTCACCACTTTTAGACAGGAAGGTGTGTACACAGAAACATCTATCAAGAAACATATTTCAATTTTTTAGAGTTCGGGTCCTGTGATTTTATAGAGGTTTTGGGTTTGAAGCGGTTGCGCGTTTGATGCTAGAAAGAGTTTGTGGTTTGTTGCTTTGCCATTTCATTCATTTGCGGATTCTATATTATACACATGCATGTTGTTGGCGCGCTTGATTCTGCGCAGTTTTTCCCGTTTGAACCTCATTTGCCAGACTTAGGCTTCTAAAATGGCCTGCGCTGACACCCCCTGAATTTGAAGGAGGATCATCAAAGGCAAACACAATGCAATTGTCAGAGAGACAATACTTTAACCCCGGGTAGCAGGGAAGATACACGTTTGGGCACGCAAGCGCATAGTTCATACAAAGCGATTATTCACCAGCGAAGAGAATGCATTTCAAAAAGTAAACAGGAAATATATATATCTACGCAGTGGGATGTATGAATATGTGCCAGCGCATGACCTATACACGAAAAATACCAGAAACGCAGTGTCAAGCAAGCAAAAACCCCCCAACACCAAACTATGTTGACGCGCAATCACAAAATTTAGACACAAAGTTGCGCAAAAAGGTTCCATATCCAAGCATAATGTATGTTCCATTGAGCACCATCTTTGCCGATGGCCAAAGTTTATGTTCAAGTATGCGCGCACCATTTTTGTTTCCGACAACCATACTCGCCAAATGATGCTGTATCAAGCGCCAGCGCAAAACATAGCACGATAGGTGTTTGAGGGGGCGCGCAATCTTTACTCAGACAAAGAATGAGATGTTTCAAAGGATCAATGCAATCATACGACACCAAGTACCACTACCAAAGGAAAAGACGATGAACTTTCATCACGGAGGCGTTGTTTACATGCGACAGGTGCAATGAGTGCGGTTCTCAAAGGGAGTAGATGAGTAGAACTCGAGCACTGCGCGAGAAACGACGCGCGCTGGACACGAAAGCGCGGTTTATCCGAACGCTAATGTTTTCAAAAGGCGGCGAAAGGAAATATCGACAGAAGCAGAACATGCATTTGCTCGCCAGCTCAGATAGTATACCAACAATACAAGAAGCTCTTCGCAAGCGAATCCATTTTGCGACACATCGCCGCATAGTTTTGCACTCACGCGCAATCATATTTAAATGCCAGAACCCAATGCGCGCCCGGTCTATGGACACGCAAGCGCACAGTTCATACGTGACAAAAGACCCAGCCCGAGACAACTACAACATAAGCGAGACGCCACCAAAACATCAACGAACCACCGCCAAAACATAACCAACACACCACCCAAACATGAGCAAAACACCTCCCAAACATGGCCGAGACACCGCCCAAACATGATGGACATACCACCTAAACATGACCGAGCTACCGGGACACCGCTTCCCAGCCCAGGGCCGTGGATCCGACGGCGCCCACTCGCCTAAAGAGTGTACAACCCTAAGCTATCGCGTGGAATTATTTATGTCTCTAACTCTGTTTGATCTTTCGCTTCTTATTTACTTGTACGCCGTGAGGGATAGCCAGCAGTACAATGCCTCAATATAGGTTAGGAAGCTGCAGATTCCACTGACTCCACAGCTCAATGTAAAAGGATGGGAAAGGTTGAGTCTACGCGTGGGCCTCTAATCTAAGCCTTGGAATTGGTTTTCCAGGGATCTGAGGAGGTTGCCAAAAAAGACAATCAAAAAAACGATGTGATATACACGTTTTAAAAACATACGACGCTACGATGCTTTCCTCACCTGCCAGGTGAGGGTTGTTAGATTTTATCAGAGCTTTTCTCTTCCTCCTGGACCTCCTGGACCTCCTGCCCCTCGCCGCCTCAACAGCAAGCGCTAGATCGGAGTGGGCGCTACCGGACCTCAAACGCAAACGCCAAACACAACCACAAAAGTTGTAGTTTTGGCATGGCCTGTTCAACCACAGAACTGATGATTGATGATGGTCCATGTGGGCCCATCTTTCACCATGGGATTCAATCAGAATCCTTTTGGATGAGGTGAACGCCCAAACACCGTGAAGGAGACTGCAAAGCAAGTTCTGGAGCAGGAGTGCTTGTGTGAACAGCACGCAATACAAAACCGCTCTACTTCTGTGACCTTTGACCTTTGCCACAATCTCCATGGACTCCGACAATTTAGGTTCTGGCGTTTTAGAAAGTAGAAGGCCAGTGACCGCACTTGATGGAGAGGCTGGACTGAAGTCATACTTTGCTTCCCGCCCTGCCCACCAAAGATTCAACAACGATGGAAAGCGTCCAAAAACCTCGTAACACTCTCAATAACAATAGCAAAAACAACCGTAAAAAAACATAAGTAATATGCATGTTTAGTTTTAAAAACTATCTTCTTAGCATTATAAACAAATGTTTCTGAACTTATAGATTATGAATATATATGTTTAAAAATGATTTTTTACATTCACATAAGAGGTTTTTTAAATATATAGCGCTGCAATGCTTTATAAATATGTTAAAACCAATATTCAAATTTTTGGTTTTGGGAGCCTCACAATAGATATAACATTATATTGATATTTAAGCTTTCCTCTTGAACCTATAAATTTGAAACTGTGCAGGCCTTGCTCTGCTCCCTCTGGGGGACCCTTCCGGAGGCCGGAATTTAATACCGAAATGGAATTGACAGCCGTATATACGCACGATTTGCCAACGCATTTCGTTCAAGTGAGGCCATCCCCTTCCAAACACCAGGCTGTAGAAAATGTCATTGATTTACCGAATTGTCGTGGTCCCTTAACAAGGCGGAACCTTCGCCAGGCGCGGGCAGGAGAGCGAGGGATGGCAGGTGGACGTGATAGAAAATGAAAGGCGTGTAAACAGAAAACAAAAAACTGTCCAAATATGTCCATATCGATAAAATTTTACTCTATAAGTATTCGATTTGTTGGGAAGAAATGGACACTGTGTTCCCATGTTTTTTGGCACCTTTACTGTCATGATTTGCCTGAGGGGTCGTTGACGAAAGTGAAAGACTGTTTACGGAAAAACATTAATCACAAGGAAAAAACAGTTTGTTTTCATACATTTTCTTCGCCATGCACCAAAACCCTTGTGAATCACGAACTCAACGCCCGTGGCACCCACATGTTTGCCTCCAGGCTGCCCGGCCTGGCTCGCCACGCCCATGGATTCCGCCGTGGTCAGCGCGTTGACAACGTCAGTCCTGTCCATCAGCCTCTCAAAGCGTTTTTGGAGTGAATTCTGCGAACTTTGCAATCGAACAATGAAGTGTCCTTCCCCTAAGCCCTCCAGTGTGAGAAACTCAAAAGGTGGTTCCAAGCTTATATAATTGTCATTAGGCCTGGGACAGATTAATTCTCCAGCCGTCAGTGTATATATATATATATACATATAGGTGTTTTGTTTTCTTGGGTAGCCGATCATGGAGATAGGGGACAGTGGAAACATGTATAAAAGTAGTGGTGCAAGACCGATATGTTTGCAGTGTCAATTCAAAATTGGTCGGTTTGTAAATAAATATGTGTTGGCTTTTGAGCTGATTGCTTAAAAATAAATCAAATATATAACCTCGAGTGCCAAAAGAGGCTTCACCCCACGGAATTTCGATGTACAAAGGCCTTGCACGCGAAACAAGGCGTGCGTCCACTGTGCATCGGAAAAGATTGAGCCAATGGTCTTTGTTCAGCCGCATCATACAGCGATTTCTGAATCACATCTACGTATATCACGGTTTGGCTCAGGTGCTGATATCTACGTCTACCGTTCGCAGCAGACCAAGAGTTCTGAGGTTTTGTGCGCAAGACTGGTTCGATCCAGATGACGCCCTGAGTCCAACTTGGAGAGCATGATGCCAAAAAGAAATGTTAAAGGTCTGAAGAACAAGACACTCTGTATTTGTTGCCAAGAGGAAGGTCCCGGTGAACTTTGGTGGCGTACTGATCTTCGTGGATGGAGAGCGTTCACCGGAGGACAGCTTGCAGGAGGCCGCATGTCGAAACCAAAAGAAAAGAGTCCTTGGGCCTTGGACATCCTTTGGGCATCTTTGTGCAAAAGATCACATCTTTTCCTTCTTTTTATTCACATTGTTTCACAAAAGTCAGAAGGAACGATGCGACGATACATTGTGGGAGTGGAACGCCCCAAATCACACCTTCCTTAAGCGAGCTTGAAGTCAGTCCGCGAGCTTTCTGAACTCTTTTCACGTTTTTGCAACATGTTTTTTGGTGTTGTTTTTCTGAACTCGTCCAAGACTTCATTCACTTCATTTGCATTGGTTTTTCTCCGCAGACTCTCCTCCGAAGTTATCCAGCTTCGATCGTCACTGGGCTTTGATCGTCACGGCTTGGAGCGCCGACTGTTGTTTTGGGCATCTAACAGGGGATGGGCACAAACTGAAGTGCTAGTTAACAAGCCCGGACGTTGAAGAGCTCATTCTTCCAGGAAGCTCTAGCCTTGAAGAAGCGCTCGCACTGATTTGGTTCCAAGATTTTGGGGGATATTTAACTAGTAACAAGAAGCTACTAGGGGCTCCTGGCCATACTACTAGGAGCAAGGACGCTACTAGGTGCTCCTGGCCATACTACTAGTAACAAGAAGCTAGTGATAAGTTGTACCGCAAAGTCTCCCAGAAATACCCTTCGGCTCTGTAGTCTTCCGTCTCCTCACACGTCAGCTCGAGCGCTTACATCGAAGTCGAGACGAAAGTGCGATGTGTCGAGAGTCGAACAAAACGGTAAATCAAAGCCCATGCAGTAACAAGTGCATCGCTACTAGTAACAAGTGCCTTACTAGTAGTAACAAAAAGCTATTAGAAACAAGAAGCTAACTGTTTTCTTCGCATCACTTGATGTGAGGTGGTCGGCCCGATGGCCGCGGGTGGCCTCTCTGACTTCTTCCTTTGCCCGGCCGCGTGCGCCAGCGTTTCCGGCTTGCCGCAGGGCATTTTTTTTACGCGCCTTCAAGTCAGAACCATCCGGTTTGTTCTGAAAAGTGACAATCAGGTGCAAATGGAAGATTGGTTCATGTGTTAATCCTACAAACAAAAACGAATTGCGACTTAGTGCAAGATATGCAGATATGTTTCTGATTCTTTGACTGCACCGACATGCACCAACTACACTCCAGGTCCACCTCTTTCTCTGCTCGATTGCTGGACAGCCCCATGCGTTTGGTACAGCCACGACCACTACAGGCTCATGCGGCATGCGCTCACATGCACTCATGGTGCAACAATTGTCCGGCGCACTGCAAGAGTCTGCAAGAGTGATTGAATTTGGACTTGGTTTCTTCGACAAAAGCAAAAGGCTTGGCCACTTGCCAGCAAAAACCTCGCAAGGTGCGTCCCGGCTTTGCAGCTTACTTGGTCTACCGTTGCTACCCGCACCGTAGCCGAGCAGCACAGGAGTGTCCATAGCAGTCCTTCCGGTGGATTTCCACACTGTTTTCTACTATGCTTGCTGGTCTAGGAGGAACAAGAACGCTACTAGTAGCAAAGGGCATCGCTACTAGTAGCTCCTGGCCGTACTACTAGGAACAAGAACGCTACTAGGATGAGACTTCTGTATAAGTTTTAGATTTCAGATGCATTTCTTTACCGTCAAAACAGCACACACCACATGAGTGGAACAGCTTGGACTTCGGTCTCCCAACATGTGCCTGAGAGACTGGGCCTATGTGGGAGGAATATGAAGCTTTGCTATTGAGTTCGGGTTGGTTCAAGATCCACTCACTGCTTTAGTTCGGAGTTGGTCCGCTAGCTGTTCGTTTAGACCTTTCCATCTCACCCTCACAATAGGGTGACAGCTGTCACAGATTGTCACAAGAAAGTTTCGTTTTCAAATCAATGACCTGAATAAACCTTTGCAGTTTTTGATAAAAGAAGCTGACTGACACTTGCTAGACAGCTACTTTGTGCTTGACTAGCAAATACAGCGAGGTGAAGGCTAAGTGCAAATAGAGGGCCTGAAGAACCTTCACTTATATAGTGCCGAGGTGAGCGCTTTTTCCACTTGTTGGACAGTGCCGCCAAAGAGCAGGGCCTGGGCTCGGTGGAGGCGGGGCAAACGGCGCTTGGTAAACTGCACCTAGTAGCTTCTTAATTGTTTCTAATAGCTTCTTGTTCCTAGTAGTAAGACACTTGTTACTAGAAGCGATGCACTTGTTCCTAGTAGCTTCTTGTTTTTCTGCCGCCCTGCCTAGACTTTTTAAAGACTTGGCGCCTACGACTTTTTTGCAAACTTTGGCACCTCGTTTCGCCTTGCTTCGCGCCTTGCTTCGCGCCTTGCTGTGCCCAGTTGTGGATTTTGCTTTTCTGTGTTTGGGTCGAGACAGCCAAGGCCAAGACAGGTGTTTTCTTCTGTCTCTCTTCAAAGAGTTCGTAGGCTAGTCTTTTGACTTTAGGCTTTATGCCAGGCACCTTCTTCTTTTCCTACTGCTCCTTCTCCTTGGAGAACAGTCTCAGATGATCAGCTTAGTCACAGATTTCAACAGTTCTTAAACAGATTGTGTCTCAGATTGAGTTCTCTTTTGCCTCCTTGCAACTTCACCGTCTATCTGTGTTGCTTTCCGACACTGACAGCACTGACCACCAGAGCCCTGTTCAGAGCCTCTCGCGCTGTGGCAATGCACCTCCTGACATTGAGCGCAGGCTGGCTCCATTAGATTGACGACATGTCAAAAGAGAAGCAAAAACTGCTGCAAATGCGTTGCGTTTGTGTGCTTGAAACCAGAGTGAAAACGACAAAAGGTCGAAGCGCTATTCAGCCAGCTACTATGACGTGGTGCCCTGAGAAGAAGGAGTTTGCAAGATTACATGTCTTTTTGTCGAATTCAAAATCAACGCTTTCGCCTCCAACCTAGTCTTTTTGCTTTCTTTCTGGCGTTGTTTGCCTCCTGCCTCCTTCGCCGAGGACGCCGTGGAGCTCTTTCGTAGCTTCCGCTTTGCGATGGTCTTCGAGAACCGGCTCTCGCCCAGGACGACTCAACACGGCTTGACTTGTCAAGCAGAGTTCCAAAGCACGAAAAGCTTCAAACAAGAGGTCGCTTGAAGAACTTAAAACCGTTTTGATGGCAGGCTGCTAGGTCCATCAGGGTCATGACCATGTTGCCTCTGTCAGGTATGTTACTGAGAAGATTGTGAATGCGTTCCTGAGTGGTGTGTGGCGTCCCGGGTATGCCCTGATGATCCACTTGTGTTGCACTTTAGAATCTAGAAACTGGTCGGTTATTAGTTCCGTGTTGGGCACGCTTATGATACCAGAAGTGTCCGAAGTCAAGATGAGAAATCTGGGTACGACATGACCACACCTGGATTTATATCTCGAAGTCACACAAAAAGTGAGCTCGATTCAGCATGAAGACCTGCTTTTTTTGTTGTTCGAGATTGTTCATGAAAAGGTTCTCAAAGCTGCACTACCGCGCTCGGCGAAACTCCCGACGAGGCAATACCGATCTACTGGGGTTCGCCCTTCGTTAGCAGCTCAGGGAAGAGGAGACCGAAGGGTACAGAGTCTAGAGTCTATGTATATATATATATAATACTATAAACTATTATATACATGTGTAATTATCTATGTTATGTGTAATTAGTATGTGTTTGAAGGATGGGAATGATGAAAAAGATGCTCCAATGTGGCGGGTGTTGCCAGCGGGACTAGGTACAGTGGTAGCGTAGGGTTTGCTTTCTGCTTTTCAGAGTGTTGGGAGAAGTCGGCAATGAGTTACAAAGTTCATATTGTATATATTGAATTTATTGTATATAAAAAAAGATGCTTGTGTATATATATATATGATAACACTGCAGATTTGGAATCGCTGACTTTGAGGTGCTGAAGATCTTCAATCCAATGGCCTTCATTTACGTGAATTCCTTTCGATCTTTCGAGGCGAGTTGCGCCCTTTGCTCCGTTCGTAGCGATGCGAGCCCCGTTCGTAGCGAACATTGCTCCGTTCGTAAGGCCAAGTCGTTGGATGTGTTTGAAGCAATCTGCACAATCTGCCCGAGTCGAAAATGCAACTCCCGAAGTCCCAAGGCCGCTGTGGAGCACATTCTCCGTGTGGCTTCAGATCCGGAGCTTTTTGCTCTCTATGCCACTGCCCCCGTTCTGAGGAGACCACGTTTTCTTCTTGGTGGCCACAGGGAGAGTAAAGACTGGAATATTATAGATTCATTGAGAGAAACCTTAAAGTGGGGAGTGCCTTCTTAACTTGTGAAACCCTGCAGTATTGTACTCCGGGGTTCAGATTCGCAAAGTTCGGGATTGGCCAAAACCGGTCATACATGTCCTACCATCGAATAGTCTTCAAAGTTTGGTTGCAATTGTGCAGACTCTGGACCGACTGTTTATGTCAAAAGGAAAACATGTCGATGTTTCGCTGGAAAAGCAAACCTAATACAGAAAGTATGGTGTCAATAGAGATTTTGCTGGGTGCAGCTGAATTGTCAGTTCCAAGTCAAAAATGTGAAGGGCTCTGAGGGTGTCGTGAGTAGCGCTCTAAACACGGCGATGATTGGCCTTAAAGGTGGTGGTGTCTTTGATTCAAGACGGCCTATGGTATGTTGAAGTCCCAAGACTCACGAACATTGTGGTGCTTTGGTGGTTGATTCGGTTGATGAACGGGGTCCTGCAGCTCAGCCTGTTCAACTATCAAAGTGCAAGAGTTCAAGCTTTTGAGTCGCAATCAGATTCTTGGCTCGAAGCGTTAAGCTTCAAGTAGAGCCGAGGGCAACCGAGTTTCATGCGTTACATTTCATGGGGCGCAGCCTGGGTGATTTCTGCAGCCAAAGAGCTGTTGCCGCTGGAGAATTGCTTCCATGGGATCCTTGGAGAATTGTTTCGTCCAGTTACCTGAAACCCGAGCTGGTGAGCACCAAGATGTCTCTTTTGTGTCCTTTTGCAATCTTTTGCCATATTGGTTGTTAGATGTTGGTTTGAGAACCGCTGAGTGCGTAGACCGCATCCGTGAGGTGGCCGCCTGCGGATGCGCGAAGTTGCTGCGACCTCTCCTTCGGAGCTCGTGGACGCGAGGAATGTTGGGACTCCATTTTTACCTTCGAAGATTGTTGCCGCGACGTGGCAAAATTAAGTTGCAAAATGCTTTAAATGATGCTCGCACCAAATCTGCAAACGCTCTCTCGAGTCGACACTTCCTCGAGGTGAGGTCTCACACTTCGGCCTGCGCTACTGCTGTGGAACTGGAGGTGCCATGTGGCGACGGTTTCGGTTGAATTCCGGGTCCCGAAGTCGGTGAAGGAGTCTTGTATTGTCAACACAGACGTCACCATCGGTTTCACACGTGGGTTTCGCATCTCAGGTGATTGTTTGAACTTCTCCTTTTCTTGCTCACCGGGCCGCCGGTGCAAGATTCGACCCAACCTGCCACGGAAGCCGAAGCTGCGGACAACCTGTGGCCTGGAAGAGCTTTGGTGAGGGGAATCTAGGAATGGTGATGCCAGGAGCCCCTAGTAGCTTCTTGCTCCTAGTAGCGATGCCCTTTGCTACCAGTAGCGTTCTTGCTCCTAGTAGCGATGCCAGGAGCTACTAGTAGCTTCTTGCTCCTAGTTCTACAGATACAGGTAAGAACTCTTGGAAAGTCTAGACGCTGAGGTGACGATGGTTCGGTGTTGTTCCCTCCGTTGTACACTGCAGTGGAGACAAAGCTGGGGGATCTCCAAGATGGCCGTGACTTGAGCGTTCGAGGTGCGAAAGAGAATCCGTATTTCTGAGCGGCCCGCTCGCCTCCAATACAGAGACATGTAGAGACTCGTTTTTATTCAATTAAGGGGAAACTTGTTCGCCCCTAGGACGGATAGCTCACACTTCAAGGAATCGCTCGCACTAATGATTTGGTTCCTAGATTTTAGGGAAACTTAACAAAAACCGTTAAACAGTCTGACAGATTCAGCACCCATCGCTTCACTAAGTCCATTCGCTTGGGAGCAACCTTTGTTCCAAATATTGTGTGCTGTTTTTCGGATTCCCTGTTTTTGCCGACTCCAGCTTTTCAGGTACTATCTACATCAATGACGAGATGGCAAGACTCTTCATGAACCAAATTTCCTCCAATGAAGCTGCGGCACTTTTTCCCAAAAAGACTCTGGATCCTTGCTTAGGACGGGTTCGGTGCACGGGCGTAAGCTTCTAGAAGTGTGACTGGGTTGAGGGTGACCGGCTTGACCCTGTTTAGGAGTTTTTGAGGAGCAAGAAGATGCCTTTGGTACATGCAACCAGCCGCATGATCCGATCATGGACCATTTGCCTTTGTTCGTCCGTCCTCTCCGCTATTTGGACTGCTCCGCATGTCACTTGGATGGAAGGAACCAAAAGAAAAGGACGTTACTAGACCAGAGATCATAATCGAAAGGGATTTGTGACCAAGGTAATCTGCCAGGGTGCAAGGTCTATGCCACGGCATTCACTGCGAAGTTCGGGGGCCCCTGGGAGCACAGATTCAATATGTTTCGTGCGATTGTTCAAGCTGCACATTCTGCGTGCAGACTCCGCTATTCAAATCTATGTATAAGGATCTTAATAATATAATATGATCGAGCTTGCCGTGTTTGTTACAAGTTCGAATATTGTGGAGCTATATGAGGTGTGCGAACGAATGTGCGCAATCGGCTGATCCTGGCAGTTCCTGGTGCTTGTACTCATGGGGATGTACTCTTCAGGCTGAAACTGCAAGTTTCGAAAAGTGCTCTCATGTTGGGGAACGGGCTAGTGACATCACCTTTGGCAAGCCTAGCAAGGGGCAATGAAGTTGAACTGCGCAGAAGATCTTGACATTTAAAACAAAAATGATTAGAATTTGCAGTGTAGATCATAGACACTTTTCACCCTGACGCAGCCCTTTTGAGTATCAAGAAAAGGTTCGCATGGTAGCGGAGCAAGGATAAGGGAAACCTCCTTCGAGCTCCAGAGAAAAGCCCCTAGGTCACTGGGATCCTGGGAGCGTTTGAGCCATAGATTTGGGTGGGGCCTTTGGAACCCAAACTACTGACCTGCTGACAAACTGATGTGAACTGCACTCTGTACCCCGTACATTGTGTTAGTTGAGCAATATTATTCTGGGAAGATGGATGAAAGAAGAGAACTCCTGGAAGTGGTGGCAAGAAGTACCCAAGCAACAGCAACAGCAGAGGCAGTAAAGAAAGCGGCTGAAGACAAGAATACAACAACAACTGACTAGTCAAAGCTGATCACAAAGCCTGGCCTTGTTGAAAATAAGTCGCAGCAAGAAGAGATTAAAGCGTTCAGGGACTGGTCATGGGTATTTGAGAAGTATCCATGTTCAGTGGATGAGGCTTACGTGAAGGACTTGAAAGAGGTTCATGACAAGCCAAATGAGAGCTTCGACATGGACTTGGTTGATGAGGGGCAGGGCAATACAATTGATGAAAGCTGTGGAGGACTCCAGTGGATTTGATGCCTGGAGGAGTTTGAACAAAGCTTTGAAACCTACTTCAAAGGCGAGAGGAGTGGCGTTTTTGGGAGCATTTTCTATGAAAGCTGGAAGGGGTATTTGATGAGACGGTCAAATCACGGACAACAAGTCAGGACAAGCTGAAATCTGCAATTCTTTTGAGATGTGTGGGTGGACAGCTCAAATCCTGCTGTGTTTGAACTTGACCATTGGCGACAATGTTCAGTACTCAGCTTTGAGGGAACAAGTGTTGCAGTGGGATCGTTCTCAGCAGAAGTGGGCTACTTCAATGGTTGCAAGTAACAGTACAGACTATCAAGGACCCACGCCTATGGATGTTGACAGAGTTTAAGATGCCAAAGGAAAGGGCAAGAAAGGTAAGAATGACTACCAGAAGGGCAAAGGTAAAGATGCCAAAGGAAAAGGAAAGAAGGGAAAAGGATAACAACAGAAAGGACAGGTGATCACAAGGGCAAAAGCAAGGGCAAAGACCAAAAAGGACAGGGTGTGGCAACTTGTTACACTTGTGGGAAGCCCTGACATCTTGCTCGAGACTGTAGGAGAAACAATATTCGACAGATTGCAAGTGATACAGCCCATGCATCTTCAGGAGGAGCTTCAGTGACTACGCATACAGTTAGTCAACAACAAGCCAATGTGACTCAGTAGAGCAGTTCAGCAGAGACCAAATCAGTTGTCAGAAGGATTGAGAACAATGAGCCCATCATCTTTCACCTACGAGAAAGACATCATGAGTCAGAATCTCATGGAATTCGAGTGATTCACTTCTACATTGGAGATGACGATGATGAGCCGTGGAAAGAAGGCTGTGAAGAAGTTGAAAATGAAAGACCAAAGGTAAGAAGACTTGGAGAAGAGAGAGATGATGTGGCCATCGTTATCGATAGTTGAGCCGATGTAGCTTTATTCCCTTTCAGTATGGCAGATCATGGGGAAGGAGAATTAGGGTTCAACGCAGCGACAAAGCTACAGGATGCACAAGGAAGTCGTACACCCGCCGGGGGTGCGAAGGGCGTCGAGATCTCCTTGCGTGACATCGACGGACACTCAAACAGAATGTTATCTTCGGTTCAATGGTGAGCCAGCCCATACTTTGTTATGGCCGGCGGGGAATCAGTGGTCGAGGGCAAACGTTGGAGAATGGTGACTTGGAGGTATCACTCCACTTGAATCGCTCTTTTACAGTTCAAGGAAGGATTAGAGTCATTAGAGACGAAGACCAAAGCTGCTTGGAGGTGCAAGTGCCTGGAGCTTTGGTAAAGGCAGCAGGTTGGAAATTCAATTGACATGGCTTGCACGTTGGAAGCTTATTGACTTCAAAATTTGTTGATCCCACTTTCATTCCTGAAGTGGAAGACTCACAAGAGCTGATGAGAACCAGTTTGGTGAAAAGAGGAGGCCGATGGCTTTTGCCTGAATTTTGTGAAAGTGTGATGAAGAAGGAGGAACTTGATGAGCAATTCTTTGATTGCCGTCATTCCTTCAATCACAATCTCCAGCTACGAGTCGGCGCCGCCAGAAGACATGGGATTCTTCGCACTAAAGTCGAGATGAGAGAGGGAAAGATGGAGTGAGAAGGCAATCGACGAGATTACCCCTTCTCCATCGAAGAAGGCGGTAGAAGACCAGAAAGAAGATGATAAGAAAGGAGAAGATTTTGAATGTGAGTTGCAATTGAGCCCAATGGACGTAGACAAGGTCTTGGTGGATAGAGTAGAATTAACCTAGGGTTCTACTTTGGCAACATTGGGGCAGCGCTCTCATTTCTTGGCGTCTCAGGTAGCGGCTCTAAATTGAAGGTCTACACGAAGATCTTCCATCACAACAAGAAGATGGAGCTTATCAATGCCAAAAGTTTGGTAAGTGAAGCAAAGGCTCAGGACGCAAGCGAGACACAGGTTGACCCGTCTTCCATATGCCAATAGGTGTAGGGGGGCCTCGAGCGTCGAGCGTGTCCAGATCGCCACGAGAGAGCAGATGGGACTAAGAGAGGAAGCGTCTTTGACTTTTGCTACACTAGAGCAAGAGATTCAGCTGGGGCAGTGATGCAATGCAAGCAAGAGGTGGAAGAGAAGGTCGCGTGAATCTGCTTTCGCTGAAGGAAAGAGAGATTACATTTTCTCACCAGCGACTTCAGGTCGTGTACTAAAGCTTCTACCTACATTATTTTTGCAAAGAATGGGCGAAGAAGAAGGAACAAGAGAGGGAGCATTTTCTCAAGCGCTATGTTGTCTAGATGTGAAGGATGCATTCTTGCAAGTTCCACAAGAAAAGCCTTTGAAAGTGAATCTGAAAAACAGTTCTTTGCGAAAAGGAATTCACCTGGACAGAGAGTTGGAGCAAAAGCATGGTTTTTCTTTTTCACAGGGTACCTGACCGAGGAACTCAATAGCTGAATGTCCATGCCTGGGGAAGAAACGAGAAGAGTATCATATTGATTCACACGGATGACTTGATTCTCACAGGTTGGTTGTTCAAAGTACCTCAAACAGATCTTTCTTCCAAAGGTTTGACACCAGCGCGAGCAAGATTGAGAAGACCGGTGACGAATTCAACTTCCTGAGGAGAAAGTACAAACTCGACAGAGATGGACTATGGGTCCAACCAGGGAACTACATCTAGCGTATGCTAAGGCACTTGAAGAGCACGCGGGGAAGATCAAACTTCAACGACAGACAAGTCAATCCAGATAGAGGTCAAGTCAGAGATCTTGAGTGATCAGGAGAACATCAAAGCATTCTTGGTTCAGGTATCCATCTTTTTCAGGAAAGGTATGATGTGGCCTCAAGAATGTCAATTCCAACAACTATGCCCTTTCACCACCTGAAGAAATTCCTAGGATACTTGAATAAGACAATGGACTATTGCCTAGTTGTTACGTTTCCACAGGCAGGAGAAGGCTATGTGGAGAAGAGTGAACACTATTGGCGCCCAGAAGCATTCTCAGACTCAGATTTGGGCGGAAACAAAGGCCATAGAAGATCAACGTCAGGAGGGTTCCATGCATTGAATGGTTGTAGATTATTCAACAGCTGTCGAACGCGGCAGATAGTCAGCTTATCTTCACGCGAGGCAGAGTTGCGCGGAATAGTTCCCTCAGCTTCAGATGGCATATACGCCGGATCAGTTCTTGAATTTGCGTTTGGGACAAAGGTGGGCCATTACATCTTCACAGATTCTTCAAGCGCGTGCCAACTGGTGACAAAGAGGGGAGTTGGTAAAGTGAGGAATTAGATGGCAAGTTGCTGTGGATTCAGAACCGCAAAGGCTTCAATATGGTGCAAGTACCAACAGACCGCAACATGGCAGACATCAACACCAAACCACTTGCAGGCCAGAGAATCAGATTTCTGATGAACCTCGTTGGTTATTCGCACACTGAAGAGCAAACACAAGTTGGTGATCTTGAGAAAAAGGTGAGTGAAGAGAGAAAGAACTTTGAAGGCAAGGTCAACAATTTTTGTCAGAATCGTGACTTTTGAGGGCTTGCAGCCAATGGTTACAGAAGCTACAATCTTCATGAAAGGAATTGACCCGTGCGCGTTGGAAGTAGAAGACTCCAACTGATACTGGAAAACTACGATTGTCATGATCATTGTCTTCGGCTTTGCAGCAACGTGGATGTTCTGGAACTGTGTGAAAAACAAAGAATGAATGTGAGATGAGGATGGTAGAGCTCGAGTATCTCTTCGACAGGAATGAGGAAGATGACCGCCGGGTAGACTTGTTAACAGGATACACAAGGAGAATTCGTTGTGGGTTGATTCTCAATGGAGGCTTTGTAGAAGGACAAGAACCAGATTCCATGCACTGACAGTCCTACGGTATGATCGCTGAGGCAAATGCAGCAAGCTACTAAGCAAGAAAGAACTTATAGCGCTTCAGAGCTACAAGAGGGCAATTTTGGGCATAACGCACTATTGGAGGCAGCAACTCAAGGAGCAGTTTTGTCAGATGGACCAGCGTCAACGTCATTCAGAAGGGAGTATGAGTAAGAACAGAGAGCAGTACTACGTGGTAGACTTGAGACCAAAATCAGCAGCTTGGACAGACAGCATGAAACACTAGTGTACAGAGGACAATTTGCTCAAGCAGATGTTCTTGATGCTGACAGCGTCTACTTTCAGTCCCGTTCATTAGAGAAGGGGTCAGAACTGATGAAAAGTGGCGGCAGAGTGAGCTAAAAGAGCGAATTAGCGCTCACCCTACCGAGAAGGAGCGGGTAGAATTTGCAGTGTAGATCTTAATAAGAAAACAAGAAAAGAAGGCTGCCTAGCTGCACCTTTGCGGGAGAGCACGTGTGCTGTTGCAGGCTTCTCCCACGGATCCTGTCCAAACGGTCCCATGGTCAAGCGCATATCTTATCTGAAGTGACGCTACATCACTTCAAACCTGGAGACAAATGTGAACACCATGGACAACCTGGACACAGATGGTCTGTGGGTGTTGCCTGTTTCTTGATGCTCTTTCCAAGCCTGCTGAAGTGCTTCCGATTGGACGGAGTTCAGACGAAGCAACCGCAGCGCCCGACAGAGAAAGCCGAGCATGCGGAGAATGCATCCATTGGTGTCGACATCGTCAGGGCTATTGCAATCTGGAACACCTGCTGCTTCCATTGGCAAATGAAGTTTCCATTCGACACCATTCGTGAAACAGTGGACCATTTTTTGTGGCCTGATGATCCTTCGCTCAAGGCGATGCTGCGCTATAGACTTCATTCAGCTTTGGAAGCTGGGTCAAATCCATTTGAACCAACACATGTTTTTCAATGTTTTTCATCCTTGCTGAGTGTTCTTGATTGTCAGCACGAACGTCCTTGAGAATTGTTTCATCTGTCCAGGAAGGCCTCTACTCGATCATTACGGTCTTTTTGGTTCTGCGATGCACAAGCTCGAAGATGTTTGGCCAACGTTTGATGCGTAAGGTTGGACGTCAGTTTGTTGTGATGCTGTTCATTGACCTTTGGCGCCCTGTGCTTCTCTTTGCCTCGTCGCCAGTCAACTGCATCCAAGATGCCATCCGCCACCCCACTGAGGACCTGATTGGCCGCCATGCAGTGCCAGAAAGCAGTTTCCAATTTTTTAACCTTCTGTTCTCCGAATGCATGGTGAAGGGAGTGAATTTGTTGTTGTTCTTGTATTTATTTAAAGGGAGAAACAGGGAAACACCACAAGTTTCGGGGTTCCGTTCGTGCGTGCGTGCCAATATGAGGCTCCGTGGTGCGGATTGCGACTGCGTCACACTTCAACTGGGCAATACGACTTGATATGCAAGAAGTCTTGTTAGTTGGAACATTGGGTGTTTTGCGGTTCAAGTCCCAGCAGCTTCGGTTAGGACTTCTAGTTCCAGCAGCTTCGGTTCTGTACTGGGCCTATTTGATCCAGAGATCACTTCAGCCGGACGCCTGCGACTTTCTGGCTAAGCTCAGCCAATTTGGCCAAGCTGGTGGAACTCCTGGAATTAATTTGCACTACTCGTTTTGGCTCCATTGGTTTCCGAATGCATTGATCTTGCTGAACTTAGATACTTGTTTGCGGTCTCCACATGCAATTGCTATTATGGCGCGTCTGAAAAGGGACAGCTTCGTACTCGGCTTGGCTGTGCTTCTCATGCTACTTGGGAGCTTCGCCCTTGGAACAACACCTATGTTGCACTGGTTGAATTGGGAGGCGATTGGTTTCATCAATTGCGACCCGAAGAAAGAGTTTCTTTTGGGCAGCGGTCTGCCGTATGTCATCGCATGTTTACCCTTTGAGATTACAGCATTTGCTGCTTTGCATTTGGCACTGGTGCCTCGGCACTGTCAGAGAGGAAGTAAGATAGACACTGATACAGTCTGCAATGCTGGTTGTGAAGTCAGCAAAGCTGTCCTCCAACCTGTTCTTCCCTTTCTCAGTGTGCTTGAAGGAATGGGATTTGCATTTATGGCCTGGTGTAAATCTCTCAGAGAGATAGGATTGGCCTTTCTCCTGTGGCATTATTCTGTGATGCTTTTCTTTAGAACTTTCCATCCAGCGTGGGCTTCCCTCCACTTTTCAACACAAAAAAGCAGTAGTCCCTTAGAGACTCAGCTACTCTTTTTTGCTCCGATGGCAATCGCAACTTGGAGTTTGGCTTGGTTCACCCATCACATCATCGAAAAGCCCTACAGTCTGCTCTTCCGCACCCTCTCGGAGCAGCTTGGCCAATCGGTGCTGCTCACAGTGATGGTGTCCGGGTACATGATTTGCTGTTCAGCTGTGTGGTGGACTAGTTGGGTTGAGTTCTGAAAATGCGGAGCTGCAGAAGCTGCTTGAGTGTTCAGGTCGGCATGCAGCAATCTATATAAATATATTCCCTCCTCTGTTTCCTCCTTGGAGTGCTGGTCTGTAACGTAGAGAACATAACGCTTTCTTTGGTCCATGGTTCGGAACTCTGTATCTGAAATTGCTGCTAGTTGATGAAATAGATCATGCATCTCTAGACCAAGCCCCCTGCCGGCATATTGACAAGAGTTTATTATACTGTGTATACATATACATGTATATGTACACATAGATGTGATTGCTATTGCAGAACGGACGGGTTGCACATTGTTATTCTCTACATATAAGCAAGAACGCCCTGATCCTTCTCTTGCTACTAAACTAAATTAAAAGAACATGTTAAATCAACAAGAAGACAAGAAAACAAGTGCACATGTTCGCCGCTTTTCCATTTTTACCCTCTTCCCATCCCTCTTCGGCCTCCAAGATGGAGAGGAACACCTCCATTGCACGTTGGCTTTTCTCCTGGCACCGCAATGCCGCTTGGTTCGAAAGAAAGGGATAAAGAAGGCAAAAACAGTAGGGAATAAAGGCAAATGAAGCGAAAGCCAATGTACTTTTTTCCATGCGTAGCTCATGACTGTGGAACAGCACTATGGTGTGTGTAGACATTTATGTAGCAGCTTGGGTGGCCTAGGCACCCCCCCTTCTACGGGAAGAGCCTACGCTGAGGGAGGTCGGAGTTGAGCAAAGTATCATGTTACCTCAGAAGCTCAACACCAGGGGCTCTACGGGTCTTGACATCCGGAGCCAGAGGGAGCCTGTAGGGTAATTAGGTGTGTCGCTCAAGAAACTCTGCCTACTGTCCTTGAAAGCAGCATATGACGAACGGTTTCTTTGCGAACATGTCATGTGAACCTCACCATTTGAAGGCCTTGGCGACCTTGGCGTTTCAGAAACACCATGAGGGGCTCAGAGGCACGGACTGCGTATCTCACAGGTGAATGCCTTGAATCGTGGGCTGGTGATGACTCTTCGTGCCCGCCTCGGGCGAGCTCGCCGGTCCTCAAGACCGGCTCTTACAGTCTGAAAGAGGGAAAAGAATTTGTGTCTCAGCATGTCGTTTGCTTAAGCTGTAGTCCTCCTCATGTCCTTACTTCTCGCATGTGCATCTCCACTTCTTGGTGAAGCTGAGCAAAACTCCGGCACCAGCCGGAGTGACTGGCCGAAGATCTTCACATCCAGGAAGGTGCTTATGAAGTTGGTTACCATATTCCAAGTCGGTTCAGGATCACCTTCCAAGTCGGTTAGCTCAAATGTTCGCATCTCGCCAGCTTCAACCTGCAAACCGGCAGGTTCAATCTCCCACCTAGCCTTCATGAGGTCAATCTTCAGATCGTCGTCCTCCATTTCCTTCCATTTCCTCACGAATTCAAAATCACCACTAATCGCCACATTCGCTTCCTGTGACCTCCATGAAAGCCCTTCTTTGGAGACGAGTCCAAAGTTGCTTGGCCCAATCCATCGGCTTGCATTCTACATCATTCTACCGACTTCGGGCAAGACGAAGCAAGAAAGGTGGTTCAACGGCACGTTGGGCCCAAGATGGGAACCTGCCAGGCTCTCGGAGCGTAGCTTGATGCAATCTGCTTAGCGAAGCGTTCGTTTGTTTGCGCCTTTGGCTTCGCTGCGAAATGGCTCCTTGTTGGTCAAACAATGCTTTTTCACCCACAACACCACCTAATCCACCGAGGCACATTCTGCAACTTTGGACCAGTGCCAGCATTGGATACTGTCACCTTGTGTTGGCTGCTTTCATGCCACATCGCCAAGGCTACCTCAAGTTTTGACAGTCTTTGTTTGTCTTGATCATCCGTCATGTGTCGGATGTTCGGCGTTTGAGCATGTGTGCCCATGCGATGCCCACGCACTCTGAGCTCCTCCAAGCCAGAATGGTTCCTGAACCCCACCAGTCACCTGAACTGCTTGATGTGTTGAAATGGAGTCTCGATGGAGTTGAAATGGCAAATGTAGGAGAAAACTGGAGAGTGAGGACATCCGCCTACATCCTACGTTGACTCCCTAGCACCCCTCCAACAACCTCTGCGCTTGCATTGCACATGGGCCCAATCGAACACAAATCGAGGGAGCGGAGAATTGGAACCAATCAACAAGGACGCTACTAGTGGCTCCTGGCCTTACTACTAGGAGCAAGAAGCTACTAGGAGCAAAGGGCATCGCTACTAGATACGCCAGCATCGACCCCAAACAGCAGCGGCAGCTTGCAGTGCCCAACCCCAGTGACCCAAAAGCACACCAGTCAAGCCCGGTCATTCCCAGTTCAAAAACTATGCCGACAACATAGCGAAAGATATTTGTGGGCAGCGCCATGCGGCACCAGCACCGCTCCAAAGCACACAGGCACCTGATCCACTTGAAGTAAGAACCCCAATAGCTGGTTTTGCGTTGCCTTAGCCCTTGAAGAGGAGCCGAGCTGTGGGAGACAAAGGGAGGCAAAGCAGATTCATCTCAGCCCAGCATCTAGAAGTGCCGTGCCAAGGAAGACAAAGCACAATCATCTCAGCTCAGCATCCAGAAAAGCTTTGGGAGACAGAAATCATTTTGGCCCAGGATTGTCTTTATGCAAGAATTGAGAACCTCTCACAGCAAAGCTGATTGAAGGGAAAAGTGGTTTCTAAAAGAAAGTAGAAAGGTCTAAAGAAAGAAAAGAATGCAAAAAGGTCTCAAAAAGAAGGAGGGGATATACTCTGTGGCGATCGTCATGGTGCCAGGCACGCTGACAGCGGTCGAACGGCGGCCCTTCGACTACGCTCACCTTTTTCCCCCCTAGGGGCAAGGAGAGCGGCACGAAAGAGTTGAATGAAATTGACTACAATGTTTACAAAATATCACAAATGTCATTTGTATGTGTGTTTTTGCATTTTACAGATCTCCTGTCCCATAAAAAGTTTTGTTGAAAGTCAGTGCGGTTTGTGTGACAAACTAACTGTTGCTATGTATGTCCATGTGTCCTAATGGAGTTCACGCCACAGTGTTTGCCGCTGCGTGCGGGTCGCAAAAGGATGGGTGGAAGCTCCTTGCTTGTCGAAAGATGTGGTTGGGGCATTTTGTTCTCTTGCGATGGCAACACCATGTATAGCCATGTGAGTTTCATATGATATCATTTTGGCTTAAGCGCTCAAGCGCATCCCAGCCACAGGCTGGAACGAATTGTATTTATGTTTGGTCTCGGTACCTTCACGACCACTCTCCACATTTCCTTTGCCCGAAGGTTAATTTGCTACATTCCTATGTGCTGACCATTTGGATCCGTGTCATTTCTGTCCAGATACAGGCATCGGATTGGTTTGCACATGGGACGAGAAGAAACTTAGAGTTACAGTTACAGGCTGGCAGCCTCGGCCTATTTAATTTGGCCACTCTATCCATGTCCAACATCATCCTGTTTAGGTGAGGCGGTGAGAACTTACGGTTGAAAGGGTGGCACTTGTTTCTAATAGCAAACATTGTTACTACTAGTAAGGCAC